GACCAGGTGAGGGGGAAGGATGGGAAGGGTGTCGGCGGTCGCGTTGGGTAGCCGGCCTCTATAAGGTTTCAGCTTATCGTAGTGGACGGTGAGGACGGGGCCTCCGGCCGACTGCGCGTCACGTATGGTATAAGTCGAAGGGGTAAAGAAGTCAAGGACGACGAAGGGACCCTCGCACGGATGGAAGAACTTTGCCGAAGTCCCCACCGGTGGAGTCGGACGGTAGCGCAGTACCAGGTCGCCTGGACCGTATGGTGCGCCGCTGACGTGTTGGTCGAAATAGGCCTTCTGTCGTGTATAAGCTGACTCTTGGTGAGTTCGCGCTAGATTGTGCGTGGTCCTCAAGGTTTCCTGCAACTCTAGGACATAAGCATCTGGCTGATAGTCGTCGCAGATTGGGAGCGGGAGTTGAGAGTCAGAGGGTAAGCGGAAATGGCGTCCCGTTAGCATGAAGAAGGGGGCGTAGCCAGTCGAGGTATGGACCGCGCATCTATATGCCATCATGGCGTATGGCAGTCGAACGTCCCAGTTGTGGGGGTTGTGGTCTTCCGCGAAGGCTTTTAACAGGTTAATGATGGTCCGGTTCGTTCGTTCCACTTGGCCGTTCCCTTCGGGGTGAGCCGGTGTGGTGTGTGTTTTATGGATTTGAAGTAGGTCACAGACGTCGCGCACTAGTCGGCTCTCGAAGTTCGCCCCGCAATCGGAATGTAAGGAGATTGGGGGCTCCGAAGCGGCAAATCCAAGTGGTGAGAAGGGCGGTAATGACTGATGCTGCGTCCTGTCGTGGGAGGGCGACTGCCTCTGCCCACTTAGTGAAGTAGTCAACCAGCACTAACATATAGCGGTTGCCAGTCAGGGTGATGGGCAGGGGTCCGATCACGTCCATGCCCACACGTTCAAATGGGAATCCTGCTGCCATAGGTTGGAGGGGCGCCCGGCGTCGGGGGTTGGGTCCTTTAAAGGTGGCGCACATTGGCGTGTTTCTTCCCTGGACGGAACTGAAAACTAAAATCGAACTGTTGCAGTACCTCTTGCCATCGCGCCAGCTGACCTTCGGCGTCCTTAATCTTCTGCAGCCACTGTAAGGCCTTATGGTCCGAACGGATGATGAAGTGGCGACCAAGCAGAAAAGGTTTGAACTGCTTCACGAACGTAATTAGTGCGAGTAATTCCCTACGATAAGTACAATAATTTCGTTGGGGTTTAGTTAGGGTTTTACTAGCGAAGCACACAGGTCTTTCAGCTCCTGTCTCGTCGCACTGGGATAGAACACCGCCTATCGCAAATCCACTTGCGTCGGTATCAAGGATAAATGGGGAAGCGTCGAGTTGGGTGTTGGGTAACATCAAAATAGGGGCTGTTGTAAGCCGCGTTTTCAGCTCATCAAATGCGGTCTGACACTCCTCTGTCCACTTAAATGTTCGTCCTTTCTCAGTGAGGCGGTGCAAGGGGCGTGCTATGTCTGCAAAATGAAGAATAAAACGTCGATAATAGGAAGCCAGGCCGATAAAACCTCTAACGTCGGTAGCCGTCGTTGGAATGGGCCATTTTTTGACGGCATCTATTTTATCCGAGGAAGCGTGTATGCCCTCCGTGCTAACCTCATGTCCGAGGAAGGTTACTTTGTTACGTAGGAACGTGCACTTTTGGGGGTTTAAACGGAGTCCCGCGTCGCGAAGTGCCGTAAGGACGGCTCTCAGATTCTCATTATGTTGACTGATGGACTTCACAAAGACAATGACGTCGTCTAGGTAAATTAAACAGTGGCCTGGATATAAGTGCGCTAATACCGATTGCATTAGGCGTTGGAATGTTGCGGCGGCGTTACAAAGGCCGAAAGGCATAGTTTCAAATTCAAAAAGACCTTGAGGAAGAATGAAGGCTGTTTTTGGTCTGTCTTTGGGTTCAACCTCGACCTGCCAGTAGCCTGACTTGAGGTCGAGTGTGGAAAACCACCGTGCCCCCGCAAGTGCATCTAGGGTAACATCAATGCGAGGGAGTGGGAAAGAGTCTCGAGTGGTGATGGCATTAAGACGGCGATAATCGATACAAAAGCGCAGTTTCCCGTCCTTTTTCGGCACCAGGGTCACTGGAGATGCCCAAGGTGAGCGCGACGGGCGTATCACGCCTGAATCAAGCATCATCTGTATCATTTCGTTCACCTCCGTCTGAAAATGTGGCGGGATACGTCGTGGGGGCTGCCACACGGGTTTAGCGGAGCCGGTGTCGATTGCGTGTCTTACGAGTGTTGAACGCCCTAACGAACGTTCGTCCCACGCCAAAACATCCTCAAAGGTTGCCAGCAGGAATTTCAGATCCATGCGGTCTTGTTCGTCGAGCTCGACATCTGCCGGTAAGATGCTGTCTAGGTTAGTGGGTGGTAGTGCGACCGCCGCGGAGAGTGTAAGGGGGCCGGTCGAGAGACCGCCCGTAAAGTGGAGGACGAAGAGAAGACGGATCGGGATTAAATTTCCTCTGTTTATATATTCCCTTTAATAAACTTTATCCACCGTCGATCCATTCTATCCGTGCACGCTTGCCCTTGCAGATGATGGACTTAATTCACTCTGATTCCCAGGGTTCCCGCCGAGGAGGCACTCGTTCGGATAAGAATACCAAGGAAGTCAGCACGGACTGTCGCCTAGAAGGAGAAGAAGACAAGACCATACCCTTGAGTGGCTCGAGTACTACACCTTAATCGCCATGAAAGGAGACGTTTTATGTTTAATCAAATTGTCAGTTACGCCCAACGTACTCGCTGAAACCATTAAGGAGTGTTGAGGACCTTTAAAGTATTTAATGATCAATTTTCAATAAGTATGAGCAACTAAACTTTGTGACACCGGGCACTGTATGCAGATCCTTATTTGTCGCCTTGTTATATGGAGGATCGGTGAGCAGTGCATGGCACGTTGAATTGGTTATAAAAAAACTGCGAAAACATCAAGATCATAGTTTGGCATATGCTCCAACTGATAAATAAGGTCACTCGAAAAGCAAGAGGAGAATTAAAAAGATGCCTTAACGCCCAAATGGGGGCGGGATTTGAAGAACAGGGTACTATCAGGGCACACTTGGGTTTTTCACATCACTCAGTTGATAATACAGGTAACAACGTCTCTATCCATGTTAGATTTACCCCTAGGTAGCGCTTGTAAAGGGTTCTTCGTGCACAAGGAATCACTCAGAAGGCCGTTTTGGAACGTTCATGTGCCCGCAATCAGGGGTGTGTTTAATAATATGACAGTTGGGGTGTTTTGACGCTACTGGGAGTGAGTTTTTCAGAAATTAAGCGAAAAGAAGTAGATGTAATCGTTAGGACCAGCGCTCTATTCGCCTGACGTATTGCATGCAGTTCTCTACGGTGTTAAGAGGAGGCCATATGAGGTTCATAAAATAAAGCAGTGGATTTGAGCAATATTGGTAACTTTACAAGCCCGAACCTATTATCAGGGACAGCATCACATAGGACTGTTTCGTAAATAGGAAGGTGCAGTATTTAAAGGAGTCATCGGCTTTGCTGGTAAATTCGTTCGAAAATTAACGGCTCCCATTTATCGAGGATGGTTGTCCTCTGGTGCGCTAATGGTTTAATGGCCAGCATGCCAGGCGTTAGTTGTCGAAATCTCCTCATCCGCGTCGGATTTTGGCGTGATGATGGCTAAGGCATCTCGCTAATTGCTATGCGCGCTCCCCGCGTACCTAATTACTTTGGCCATACTCGGTCTTATCAGTGAATATGGGATGGGAGGTCGTTTCTTTTTTTGATAAGCTGGGCTCCTGTGAACCATGATTCAATTTACCTTATGGCTCATATCAATATCACCTCTCGTGAGAATTTTAGCCTGGAGCAAGCGCCCTAATTGCCTCTTTCTCATTAAGAGTTTTTGTTCACCAAATTGAAGTGCTATTTAGGCTCATAATCACAGCACGTC